CGGCTTAGTGGATAAACAGTTTCTAAAATGCTGAACGGTGTGCTTAAATTCGTAGTCGATGACTCTAGCGTCTCGAAGCCCGAAGGTATCTTTCGCGACGGCATTCGTACCTTGCGTGAGAGTTGGCGCGCGGTCGTCTAAAACGATGGACAACATTTCCAAGACTAAGTTCGTTGTCCTGTGTTTTTCGATACCAAACAAATTTATCGCGAAATCTGTAAAAATATAGCCGAACACCCAATAATTGGCCTTAGTTTTATGGTGTAATTGTTTACAGGGTACCAAATTTATTTGAATTTATGCACATCTGTCCTGTTTGCAACTCGCCCAACATTTTAAGTATTGGATGACCCCACAGAATCACTAATTTTTTGTCAAAACTAGTGGATGGCAGCCAAGTAGTTATAATTTTTCACCTGAAATGGGGAAATGTTTGCTGATTATTGTGCAGAAACTTCCCAAGGTGTTCTGCATTTGCCCTTTTGGATGCGATTAGTGTCTATGGCGACTGCTTTAGCGTCGTGTCATGTCTCTTAATTGTAATTGTATCCAAGAGACGATAGAAGAACATTACATCAATTTTAAAAATGCTGTAATTCCACTGCAACCACACATGACGTAGTACTGCCAGTGAACACGCCTACAATTCTCGTAAACAACCTCCACCATTAGAGAGATAGAGAGAGAGAGAGAATGGCACCGTCAAGTCGATGGCTTTCTCACACAACCACGTGGAAACAAGACAACGCAATTTCATTGGTAAAGATCAAACCTATTTGACGAGTTCACGATTTCAAACTAATAATTTAATACGACGATTTTCATGTGGGCCCTATTTAGTCATTTCTGCACCAGAGATCAAATTCTCTGTCCTAACTACGAGCAGTCTTAATTGGTCACTGCGTTGTTATGAGTTTCGTAGTTCAAGTTGGAACACTAGACATCAAGGGTCTAAAGAAACATTGCTACGAGATTTTGAATTCAAAACAGCAGTGTGGTCAGTACAATTACGCGCGTACTTTGACCAACATTTTATTAATTTTATTTGTTGGAGTAGCCCAAACTCCGCAAGCGGAACCTTGGGACATTTTGATATAGAACCTAGACCATGGTTTACGACGAATATTTTCCTGGTTCAATAAAATTTACGGTAAAATGTCCGCGAATACAAACCAGACGTAAAGTTTTAAAAGTTGGAAAAATTATGACAATTTCTCACTTACACACAACAGTATTCCGTGTTACCACTTGACCAGATCGGACAAATTCGACTATTTAGACAACACGTAACAATACTTTGCATGCTAGTAATAATAATGATTCTGAGGGCTTTGGTTACTCGAACATCCACAAAATTGAACAGCAGTTACTGGAAATAAGTCTGAGATGATATTTAAAGCAAGAAAAATGATGCCATTAAAAAAAGGCGATAACATGATTTGTACGCTATCATATAAATTTAATTCACTATTCACATACAAGCAGCCTGCATTAAGGAATTTAGAAGAGATGAATTATGCTCTAAATGTTAAATAAGCCTGACGCAGTAAACGATTTGTTGTCACGGTTAATCTAACGATTATTTCACCTTGTCATTCCCATACTTTGTCACTATGTTTACGTTATAAGGCTCATTTGAGGCACAATATGTTTATAAACATTACATATTAACTCAGTAGCACTTATCAACCAATGACGCGACTAGTTTTAAATTAATGGTTTCATAATGAGCTACACAGTAATTTTATTTTCGGAAAATCATAATAACTACAGCAAAAACACACATAGAAAAGAATCTGGACAATATTTTGGTTGTGGATACAAATTTTTTAGGTTGAGATAGCAGCTGAAAGGTAGGAGCAAAATTTTTATGCTCTCAACTGTGATTTCAGTGTTTCTAATTAACTATTAGCCCATTATGAAATGAATTAGACACATATTCATCTGAATTTTAACATTTACATTATATAATCACGGGTTAGAAGTGTAAGAGCGGGTCTTTTTGGATCGCTTCAAGATCCAAGCCCAAGAAGTGTATTAAATGTATTACTTACTTTTGCCTTTAGTTATTCTACAGGAAAAACAATTCACTAGGAGTGAAAAACAGTAGCAGATACTAGTTAATTTTAAAGAAAGTCTCATAAAAGGTGTTAAACCTTAATGTATCGTATGAGTGCATGACTGATTTTAAGATGGAAGTAACCAATTAAATTAAGAGAACGTAAAACCATTTACTGGACAAAAATTATTAGAATCAATTAATAGTGATTTAATGCACATTCTGGATGTAAGAATTTTGCTCCAAAAACCACTTATCTATTTTTCATATTATTTACGTCAGTGTTTAAATCACTGACTTTAAATCACTTTGATAGAGGTGTTACATCTGCTCAATTGCTAGGAACACGTCAAAGAAGACAGATGGAGCAAGTCCTGTCTGTGAGTGTTGGTCAATTGCATATTAATTGCTTATGGTTTGCCACTCTATGCAAACATTTTAGAATTTGACAAATTCACAATTTACACTATGAATTGTTTTAATTGTCATTTTCATTCTTAGCGGCATTTGTCTGACATTTATGGCGCTCTGGTCTTAATACTTTCATCGTAATCTGGATTTATTGTGTCAACAACACTATTTTATACATGTCTTAACAAACTTTAATGTAAGTTTAATAGATGGGAATCTTAGTTTGGTTTATGTTGTTAATGCACTATAAGGCCTCCTCGTTTCTACTGTTCTCAAACCTTGTTGAATGCCTTGTTTTGAGTTAATAATCTTCTTACAGGCTTCGAACTTGTGGCGTAATGAATATTGGACAACTAGTGAACGAAGCTGCTTCAAATAAAGGTTTCTCTGCAGCCCATTCCAGTATGTCTGTTGTTGCTTCTCTGTTGTTAGATTTGTTTTCATCAGAAAGTTCCCCTCAACTTTTTCTCTCTTTACGAACACGTAGTTAGTTTAACATTACGATGAAACATTCAATTCGATTTTTTTGTATACCTAATAATGCCTACTAGTATTTTATGTGGTTTGTGGACCTATATGGCGTTCATTGACATTGGTTTCTTCGCACGGTGGCGTAATGGATGATCTGTTTAACCTGACTTTAGTGAATGAGGTTGGGATTTCACTCTGAATGTAAATTAATTTGTGTGTCTTAGTTCCATCCCACCATTGGTGTTCTGCTTTAACCTCTAGTTTCCCATCTTTCTTAAAATGTTCCTTTTTTTGCTGCAGCTAATCCTGACGAAAGGAAATAGTTCATAAGAATCGCTTAATTCGAATATCTATTTTTTGGCTGGTGGTATTTTCAAGACCAAATTTTTCTCACGACGCAGTTTTTCCTGTTCAAACCATCTGACATTTTAGGTCTGACAATGTGCAAGCTGATTGCTGTTCCCTGATTATAGTTCGTGAATAGTTGTGATGTGCTAAGCTAATAATCTTAATCCGCTTAGTGGCGTTCAGGTCAAAGGTCAACTGGTCTAAAAAGTGTAAAACCAGATTTAGCAGCACCAGTTTTTATCAGTGAAAGGAAATAAGTTGTGTAAAACTTTAACCTTTGTTGGAAAATCTTTTACTAAATAAGCTTGTAAAATGTTTCAGTTGAAGATCTCGTGTCGACCCTGTACTTTCATTCGTGCATTTTCCGCGTCTTATTTTCGTCTTTTGGAGTCGATACACGTGAATATGAAAAATGTGTTCATGAAACCGTGAAAAGACAAGAAGTCCCATTGTAGGCGCCGGTACATTTGCATTTCGATTGTCCTTTGTGTTTGCTGTTACTGCGTGTTCAAACTTACAATGTCTAGCGACAACCTATCAATGCCTAATGACTTTGCGCTAAATTCCTTGGCATGTCTCGATTAATTTGGGACAATTAAATGCAGGTGGTTTATCTAGTACTTATAATTCTAATCCTTTGCTCTAATAAAACTCTGTATACATTCCCATCATAACGACAACTTCTGTTGACCGTTTTAGTAGTCTAAAGTGTGTGTGTGTGTAAGTGCATTGGCAAGTAAGCTCAGCATAAAATGTGTTTGTTGTCGACCCACCTACGCACAAACATCTGGTGTAATCACAACGCCTAACTCACCTCTAATCAGTCGCCTGACCACTTGCCTACTTTGCTTTGGCTCACGCACTTCTGCGCCCTGTGTGATGTCATTCACCTGCTGATGCCGCTTACTTGTTTTTTTAGCTTTCAAAAGTCCAGATCAAAGATCACCTCTGTTTCCACAAGACACAGTTGGTGACAGCGATTCGAATCAACAGGAGGTGAATTGCGGTGATGCAGCCACTGCCCTGGAACACACCTCACCTGATACAACAACTCCGTCCTCTACTGCCGTCAACTCAGATCCAGACCAAGATAAAGTCTTAGCCGAGGTTGTAGAAGCTGCTAAAGCTCGTAAGTAACATTATTAGTCTTTACTACTTAAAATGACCATCTTAAGTAACCTCCGAGATTTGTTTTAGGGGATTTGGCTAAAATCTTTAACCTCGTTACATCTTGGCGGACACCTGAAACATCTAGCATGTCTTCAGTGAATCCTCCTGTCTCACAGTCCGCCACCTCGTCGACAACGACTACTAACGGCCCCACCGAATTGTCGTCCCTACCAGAGGGCAATGACTCCATGATATCCTCTATTCAAGCCAATGCTGAGACTTCCCAGCCTGTTGTGTCTGAGACCACAGCAGCTGCTGCCCCCGTTCTGCCAACAAACTCATCAGCGGCGCTTGGGGTGACCGACGTTTGCCCTCCCTCTGCCCTCTCCTCTTCATCCGCTCAATCTCATCCCCTGGCGGATAAGGTTGACGAATCCAAAACTTCCCCATCCTCTACGTAATAATCAATTTCGATTTATTATTATTCTTCTTCGAATCACATTTCTGACCACGCTTTCCGTTTTTTTCCCTACAGTATTGAAGAGCCTCCCAAAGATAACCCTCAGCCAATCAACGAATTGATCTCTCCACCTACTGAGTCTACTGTGATGCCGTGTTCCGTTGCCCTGCCTACTTCATCATGGGCTGCATCCGCTCCCCCTGTTGTTGCACCTACTACACCCCTCACCTCAACCATCTCAGTTAGCTTGAGTGTTTTGAATGCTGCGGGGGAACTTAGTCCGGTTCACGTTCTGCTACCGAATCAACCGCTCGTGGTGCTGCGTGTGATGCCAATTCAGGGAGCTCGTGCCGGTGAACAAGTCACCCTGAGCATTCCCACGCAACTTATATTGAAGAACATTTCAAGCGCCATTGAAAGCGGTGCGTCCTACAACGGGGGACCTATCATCATACCAATAACCCCTCCACCAATAAACTCAATCACTGCTTCAACAATGACTACTGATTCGATAGTCAAATCCGTTACAGCTCCAATCCCGCCCGCTCTTCCCATTGGTCTCAAGTCGTCAGCTTCTTCATCATCATCGTCATCAGGAGCTCGAAAGATGAGGGCGATCGCTCCCAAACCCTCCAATTCTGTCGTAGGCACCGTACCGGTCACCTCGGTTTCTACTTCGCTACGCTCAACTGGCAGCCGGCCCGCAAGAAAGATTTTCGCATCCCCAGTTGTACCAACTCCCCTGACCCAGGCAACCTCCGTTTCCACTATGCCCCCAGCCAGCACCCCTATAAGCACGCCTGTCGCCTTTATTGGTGGTAAGCCGCACGCTGCGGCAATCCTTCGGAAGCCCAACGCATCAAATTCTCCCCTGCGTAACCGCAGTCGTCGAAAAAACCCGAGTACTTCTCTGCCACCGCCTGTCACAGTGGCTGCTCCTGCCACCGCTACTATTGCCCCACCCTCCGGCGGATACATCATCGACCCCACATCGGGCGCCCTCATACCTGCCGATGCGGGCTCTACAGGTGGTTTCATCCAACCCATGGTGCAATCGGGACCAAGTGCTCCTCAGTTTTTCGCCCCACCTGGTTCATTTTTTGTGAGTACCTCCAACGGTATCATCCCAATGCCGATTAGTGGAGTTCTGCCCGCTGATGCAAAGGCCCCTGAAGCCCCGGAATCGGGTGAACTTATTGCCGGCGGCGGCAATCCGTACCAGTCAGGATTCCTTGTTCCGGCCGACGGAAGTAACGAAGCTTTTACTCAACCGGTTTTCTTCGCTAACGGAGCAGGACCAAATGGGCAGTTCATCTTGCCAAGTTATCAGACGAGTGTGCCGGGTGGTGAATACGTTCAACCGTTTTCTGCCCAGCCTACGGAATATTTGCAAGCCAACGGCGGTGAACTCTACCTCGCCAGTGATGGATCAAGTTACATGTCTTACCCAAGCCTTATTGGGCAGCCACAGCCCGTGGCTACGGTTGATTTGAAAGATGACGGAAGCGGTGTTGACGTGGCCTCGGATAATGACGATATCATAAATATTGCAATGCGTGTAGCCTGTGGGGAGCAAGTTATGTGCCTGCCCGCAGACGTGGACTCGGGTGCAGGCGCTGTCGCCACGTCAACTGTTGAAGTAACCGATGAAACCAATGGCGTAATCAGCGAATTTATCCAGTCTTCATCAATCTCCCGACCCCCCTCAAACGCTGTGCACGAAGAGCAGCCGGGTGAACAGGCATCACCACTTATTGAAGAATCGGTTGTACCAAGTGACCAGCAGACTAGCACGGGAGATGCCAAAATTGATGCTCTGCTCGCTGAGGCGGCTCTAGTGAGCTCGGTTAATGGTGTTGGGGACAACCAGTCGGCTGTGTCCGTGCCCGTTGCTTCATTGTTAGGTCCGCGCACAACTGCTCCATCGACTACCACCAATCCGGGCCCGTGTGCCATTGTGGACGCGAGTGCTGCGGATGTGCACGAGTTTTCACAGAGCCTTTATGAAAGTTTTGCCAATTTTGATGCCTCTTTGATGCCCGAGACAGCCCCCATTTCGTGTTCTAAGGCGGCAACGGAAGCTGCGTTCACATTTGTGACGCAGAAAGTCAGAGATCTGGATTCCGTTTTCGGACCCGACTCTACCGATTTGGATGCAACTACCACCCATGTAACGGATTCCTTCCTCAATTCATTAGTCAATCAAGCCGACGATTTAGATGCGGAAATGGCCAATAAGGAGAATCCCCTCGGCGCTTCACTCAGTTTAGTGTCTCACCCTGTTGAGAATAAAGACCAGCCGAATGTTGGGCCGCAGGATGACCAGGAGGGAAGTGTCAACGAAATGGAGGTCTCTCAGGTGGCAATGGCGGACCTCTTCCAGCTGTCATTCGGTAGACATGTTGACGACGCGGTGGTTGGTGACGCCGATATGGTTGAAGACGACGACACCTTCTTTCCCTTCCCTCGTGACTACACCACGTCTGAGCAATTCGACGAGGCGCTCCAACTTCTTGGCTCACCACCCCCATCAAATTGCTCTCCTCCCCGCGTTCCGGATGATATTGAGGGTGATGACGGTGTATCTGTCGTTGGAGGTGGCTGCGACGGTGCTCCGTTTATTCAAAATTCCGCTTCTGCGCCTAAACAGGCGCCTAACTCAAATTCCAAGCCTCCAAGTCCTGAAGTTGTTGAGCAAAAAGTTATCGAAGATGTCGTTTTCAATGAGGCAATTTTACCTCATGAGTTGTCAGTGGGTAGTGACCTTCCAAGTGCTAGCCCCGTCACCGACAGGCAGGCTGCTGAACTGAGTTTGTTCGGTGAAGGCGAAAAGATCTCAAGCCCCACTGAAGGTTTACCCAAAACAGACAATATGGATGAAGATGAGGATGCAGAAGATGACTCGGGAAGTGAGCTAGACTTCTTGCCGAGTCGTAATGATCGTAATCAGCGGGAGCAAAATGAGTCGCCTCCTTTTTCACCGAAGGACCCTCCATCGTCACCTCAGTTGCTATTGGCGACTCACGCGGCTTCAAGTGCAGACGGTCCGCGTCGCTCCTCTCGATCAATTGCTGTTAAAGCCACTAGTCTATCGCCTACTCCCCAGCAGCCTATCAAGTACCCCAAACATTCGACTCCTCGCACTAAGCGAACTCGTCGACAATCCTTCTCCTCTTTGCTCTCACCGCCTATATTGCCCCGCAGACGCAGCCAGGGTGATGCCTCGTCCACACCGGTGTCGCCAAGGCAGCTTCGGTCCGCCGCAGCGGCAAAGAAAGACGACAGTCCTGTGTACGCTGAAGACGCTTCCTGTGAGGATATATCACCCCTGAAAGCGCCGACAACACGAGAGGATCTTAAAAAACTCGATCGAGTACAACGTGCGTCACAGCGTCGAAGCGGTGCTTTAGTGTTGGAGGACTCAGATGATGCGGGATCTTCGAAATTGTCGCTCGATTCCTCGCAGCACACTGAGTGTTGTGTGGAGGAGTCGACTATCGCGTGCACCGTTGAGACGCCAACAACACCCAAGCGAAAACGCGGAAGACCTAGTCTGCGCTCTTCGGGTGAACCAGCCGCCTCGCCATCTTCACCGCCTAAAGATCCAGTCGTCTCGGCGTCCGACGCAACTCCCTCGAACCTGTGGACTATGTTCTATTCGCGACCAACGTCGTTCGGGTGAGTACCTAGTATTCCATGTTTGCAGCTCGGCTTTAAGCGCTTGTTTTGACAAATTTTGTAGTAGTAAGCATGCCAAATTCTTTCATCGGTGGCTTTTTTAACGCAGGAAGACTCCACGTGGATCAGGAAATGCGTTAGCATCGCTTTTTCGGGTATGCAACTAGCGTCCTTAATTGATGTTTGACCTTGCTAGCCGTTGGAACTTCTACGCCTGGCTTGTGTGGGGTTTTGTGCTAAGGTCACCTGCCTCCGCTTGTGTGTGTGTGTGTGTGTGCGTGTGTTTGTGTACATGCAAGTAGGCAGGTAATTGGGTGCGTTGTAAGTGACTTGATGTGCGTTAGTCACGGACGCTGTTTAATTAAAAGGGCGTGTGTGCGTGTGCGTGTAATGCGAGTAGCTCTCAGGGCTTGCTGCGACACCTACAAGGAGCGTGTGGAATTTACACGTGTACACTGGAGTGCATCCTGATTGCTTTCCTCTGTAGTTTCTCCAGAGACTCGAATGTGCACCTTCCACTGCCCAATACGAACATCCAGCTCAATGTGGAACTGAGGGATCATCCAGCTCTGACCTCCGATCAGTCCTTCTGGGGTGATCCCGAGGAAACTTTCCCCGCGGAGGACGACGACGAAGACGACAAAAAAGACGCGGAGGATAAAACCACTCACTCGGAGTCCCCCACTGAAAAAATAAATGGCGATGCCGTTGTCGAGGCGGATTCCCCGCCTAGTCCACCATCACCTGAGCTGCTTGCTACCGTCACTGCCGTTTCGATAGCGCTCAACCTCCCCGTTACACCGGCTATTGCTTTACCCGGAAACGGCACTGCGTTTGCCAAATTTGCCGCTTCAATGTCATTGCCATCTTTTGGTGAATTCACCTGCACCACGCAGCCAACTTCCACGATTGCTTCGATACGCGATGGTGAAAAGGACTCGCAGGCAAAAAAAGCAGATTGTAACGATGACGGTGATAGTGAAGCGACCGAGGGCAGTACCTCTCCGGTCGCCTGGCTCCGCGATTCCAAAGGACTGGCCTTCTCCGAGAACCTTTTCCCGCCCAGGTTTGCAGCCCCGCTCTCACCCTCTCCTCTTGCTGCTGGTTTGCAAGTGCCGGTGATCTCGAATTGCGAGGCAAATCAAACCAGAGGCTTTCCTCTTATTTCTCCAACAAAGTCTCCGGCATTCGGTGACTCGCCGAACCCACCTCAGCCTCCCATCAGTCTTACCTCTCCGAGCAGTCAAACATTTGGTAGCTTTGCCGGTGCTGCCGCCTTCCGGTCGTCAAGTTTCAGCTCCCTCGCTGCAAGGGCGTCTTCTCGCATATTTGGCGCCAGTACCACCACTACCTTGCCGGCTACCTCCTTCTCTGAGATTGCAAAGGCCGCGGAGACCCAGCACCGAGATTTACACGGTCAACTCCCCACTCCCTTCCGAGTAGCGTCTACCGTTTCGTCTGCCGACTCCGACACTTGTGACACCGGCGGAAGTAGCCCGAGGCCACGCTCAAAGGCGAGTCGACGTAGCCACCCGTATCGTCGGCACAAAGTGAATCCGAGCCGACTGTCCCCTCACCTTCACCACGCGGTCGAGATGCAAATTGTCGACACCCTGCAGCAAGTAACCACTGATGAAAGTCTAGCTCCTCGAGAACACTCTCCGTTGCAGTTTAGAACTGTTCCTTACGCGGACTTTACCCCACCTTCGGCGCTAGCCGTGGCCTCGTGTTTCCCGCGTCCCCCGCCACAGTCGCATCAGTTGCCTCCACTAATGGAAATTATCGATCTTCCCCAGCCTCCGAGTAATTCATCGTTGGCGGATGGCCTAGCGCATGCGGACAATTCCACTGCCGCGTCCCCTACCGAGTCGCGTCAGCCGATACGCATAAAGCTGAAGCTTCCCATTGTCAAGTCGCGTCATAAAAGTAGGGGGGAGAAACGCAGACGCAAGCGCGAGCATTCGGAGGAACCGGTTGCCAACAGCAAGACATTCAGAAGCCCCACCATCTTGCGGTTGTCGCGTGTCGGCGGGATGTTTCGCACCGAGGCAGTGTCCGCGCCCCAGGCTCCTCCCCACAAGACGAGCAACAGCGCCCCGACAGCCCCGCCCAAACGACCGACAACCTTTGCTCCGCCTATCTGGGCAGCGGGCAGGCGTGGCAGGGGCGGCTTCCGCACCGGCGGCGGCGGCACCAGCAGCAGCAGCAGTGCAAACGCCCGGGTGTCGTCTGCAGTCGCCTCGGGCACTTCTGCTCCGGCAGCGGGCACAGGGGCCTTGTCGAAGAAATTCTTCTCCTCCTCCAAGGAGGATCGTCGCAGTAGTGCCATCAAAACGGTGCGTTTTCATGCTTGTTTTCAGTTTATCCAAAAACTAGGCTGCCATTGCCCAGTTTTTGGGATGTATCATCTCGCACCAATCACGCCCCGTCGACCTTCGTCCCATGTGTCTCGGGATCACGCCACGAGAAACCCCGTAGCGCGCAGGGCGCTGTACCTATTTTTTTTGTTGAGTTTAGAGGCTCGAGTCGTCACAGCTAATCCACCCCCTTTTTTTTCGATGTCGAAATTTCGTCATCCCACAAACCCGGCAGCAGCGTCCTGTGGGCGCACGCGTATCACACAAACCCGCGTTCAATCACGCCACTGAACTGAAATTTGCGCGGGGTGGGGGGAGGGGGTGGGTGGGTGTGTGTGTGCGCGTGGAAGGTCAGGGCGGCACCGGATTAGTGTCAGCGGCGAGAGACAGTTGGGCTCAGCGAGAGAGCGAGCGAGAGGACGGGCGGGCGGGCGCGCGTGACTAACAGCGACACCTCCGTGCAGCAAGGTCACACCGCCGCGATTTCGTCCGCGCCGCAGGCACGTGCCGGTCACGTGCGCCAAGTCGCGAAAGCAAATCGATAAGCAGGGGGTGTGCGTCGGTGCGTGTGCGCGCGCGCGCATGCCAGCCAGACCAGCCGCCGTCATTCGTTAGAGGTGTGTTAATGAGCTCCTTTTGTCCTAGAGACGTATTCTTTCATAACGTGGACCATAAATCGACCGACCTAGTACTACTGGGCCAGATTGTAGCCGGGATGGAAGCAGGCGATGAGTTATAAGGGTTTGCGACTTGTGGCAACTGCAATGCCTGTGGGGCGTTTTTTGCAACGCACGTTTACTCTGCGTGCACGCGGGCTATCGCAGCACTGTTACACCAAAACCCACACCCGATGGTGTTCTGCGTGTGTGTGCGCGCTCGGTTTTGGCATCCCAGAGGCTGTGCGTGTGCGCGCCTGCGCGGTGCAAGGGCGGAGTGATTAAAGCACACTCGCAACCGCGCCAGTGCCTTAAGGCGAGCCCTCAGCCTCCTGTCGCCGCCGCTGCTGCTACCGCCAGTGCTGCTTGCAGTGTTGTTCCTCTGTCCACTTGCCGCGTTACCGAGGGTTCGGCTATCACTCCCCTATGTTTTCTCCCGCCCATAAAATTTGCTAAGCGTTGCATGTGTGGATGGCATCATTTTTTTACTGGTCAGTCTCTGTTTGTCGTAGATAATTCGCGTGGTTTGTGCCCGAACTCTTGGTGTAAATACATCTTTTATGTAGCCTAGTCAAAATCATTTTTGCGTATACTTTGTAGATCACAATTTTACGTTCATTTTCACCCCTTTTAATCGATCCTAGCACCCTACTATCCACCACCCATTCCCCCTAAACACGTTTCCGCTAGGGTGACTAAGACAGTTTTTTTTCAGATAGCTTAACCCAGTTGTTGTGTCGTGTATGACGTTCGTGTGTGTGTAATTACGACTCAGAGGTATGAAATGGCGTGAGTCATAGGTGCGCTAACATCGTGTTATCCCTCCCCCCGCGCTAATCCCCCGTGAGTCGAGGTTCGCCCATGGCTGATGGCGTTTTGTTAAAAAAAAGATGAAAGATTAGACCGATCGGATTAACTAGCGTGAATGCGCGCGATTCAAAACACACATCAGAAAATGGCCAAGCCAGTTTTGGCAACGCTATTTGTTAAAAAAAAGTACCGTCGAGTGTAGGCTGTGCCAGGTGTTTGTGTCGCTCGTGGTCATCAAAGGGCCTGTGTGTACACCTTAAGTCGACAGCCTATGTGATTAGGCCATCGGCCCCACACGACGCGCAGTTGGCATGTTACATTGTTATTTTCTTACAGAAGGATTTTTTTTTCATATCCGCGTCAACTCCCAGACAAAAGGCCTTCATTCCAGCGCTTTTTTTTCCGTTCAACTAACCGTAGGTGTTCTCTTTGCCTCTGAGTTTGGGAAATTGGATTCGTGCATGTGACTTTGGTTTATTTGCTTGGTCCTGTAGACTCGTCCCTGGCGCTTGGGTTTCGGATCACCTCCGCGAAAACGTGGCGGTTTCTCCGGCAAGTCGGATCGAGGGAGTGGTAACTTCCGTAGGACCAGCAGCTCGACGTCAGTTCAAAACACGGCAATTGAACCACCACCACCGCCGCCGCCAGTACCCGTGAATCCAATTGCTCCTCAAGTTCCAACTCCAACCAACAACCGCATCCGCGTGGTTATTCGTCTCCCCAAGGAAGACGACTCAGCTGCGGGCCATGGTCAGGTGGTGACGGGGATCAACGATCATGCTCAGGACCACGAGGAAGAGGGGGTTGTGAGTGTGAGCGAATGTGCAACCGAAGAAGAGGAGGAGGAAGAAGAAGAAGATGGGGAGGAGGTCAATGAGTCCACACCGGGTCCACAATTCTCCATCGCACCGGTGGCCGAGACATTTGTGGACAAGAACCAGGCGCGGGTGCGAGTGGTGCGGAACAGAGCCCTCTTCTCCGCGGGGGAAGTGATAGACGAGGATGACAGGGACTCGTCTTTCTCCTCGGACGAGCTGCCGCCCACCAACACACGGGGCTGCTTGCCCTCGATCAATGGGTCACAATCGACGCATCATCAGTCCAACATTGGCTCGGGGCAGTCCTACCACAACCAACAGGTTCTGCAGCCCGGCATTAGTCCTGCTAGTCGGCCATCCTCCGTCAAGATTCATCCAGAACTCTCCACTGCCAGGTACACAACTTACTCCCCACCCAACCTAATTTACGGCCTTTAAATGTGACGCACTTCAAGGTGGCTCTAGAATTGTGCGCAGTACGCCAAAGTCAACGTTTTTTAGTGCAACATAGCTTCGCGAGCACATTCGCCTTGTTGAAAATTGCCATCACTACCCGTACACAAGCCTCTAATTCTATTCTTATGCTAGTATCCCTTTTGTGTCCGCGCAGTTGACGTCTTGAGCACTAATTTAGTTATCCCGCACAAACTGCGACATCGTTTTATCACCAACCAACAGCCGGTGCCGCTGTCTCCTCGACTGCGCCGGTGGCTCCTTTTAGTCCCTTACGCTGTGACCTCACGACCACCTCCGCCGCCACCGCCGCCACTCCCTCCTCCTCCTGCCTCCACCACCCGAGAACCTCAGCCGAGCAGCCCGCGAGCAGCGCTCGCAGCACCAGCAGCAACAGCACAGCCAGTTGCAGCCTCCCCGCGCCCAGCACAATCTCCCCGCCGGCCCCTTTTATTGTTGCCACCACTACCAGTGAGGCCGAAGGCAACTGCGGTGGTAGTGGTGGCGCTGCGACTCACGAACACGTACAAGCAGCCCCCCTAATGGACGGCTTCTACCAAAGGCACTCGCACCGGCCCTTTGTTGAGGCTGGCGACGGGGAAAAAACGCGGGGACCCCAGCAGCCCGCGACGCCGTACTCCAATAAGGTACTTCATTTAGGCTTTTTTGTTTCAATTTCTGTGTCAAGGGCGTGATTCCCACCTCGAGTTCGTGTAATTTGTCGATGAAGCCTGGAAACGTCTTTCGCGACAGTATTTTAAAGATTAAGTTCGTTGTTGGTTGGTGGTTCCCCATGTGTACAGCGCCTTCGCCAAGTCGCGCCAGTCCACCTGTCGGTTTTTTGTGTTTTGTCCAGGTTGACTGTAATCGGAGTCCAGCTGTCGCCTCTGAACCACCGACCCCTATGTCGTCAGCCTACCACCAACACCTTCAGCAGCAGCATCATTCGCAGACAGTGGCCCAACCCTCCAGTCACCTTCGAAACGCCCCATCAGTGTCGTCTCATGAGACACAGGCACTAGCCGCTGCGTACGCAGCCGCCGCGGCCGCCGCCTACGTTGGCAACATCGAGCCCGCGGCAATGCAGGCCATGCTGTCGTCTTCGCTTTTCAATAACTTCGGCGCCGCCGGGTCCGCTGTGTCTTCCAGGGGCTATTCGCAGCTGCAACACCAACCACCGCCGCCGCCGACTTCGCCTTACCTGCAATCATACCCCCCTCACCACCACCAACACCACCAAAGTGCTCGTGACTACGCGGAACACCATCATCATCAGCAGCCGCACCAGCATCAACCAGTTTTTCCACCCTATCGAGACATGATGGAGGCATCGAGTCGCGAGGTCTATCGCCACATAAACGAGGCTCACCAGCAGCCACACTACTCCATTCCCACCCACATCGGTGGTAAGTGTATATCCGAGGCTCATGCGCACGTTTTGTGAGGTTGGTTGTCGACTGTGGTGTTCTTTTCATCATGCAGACAGCACAGTGCTTGGGCATTATCCGTGGCACCCTCAGCAGTACCACTCGCAGCACAATCACGTCCCGATGCCCCTGAGTGCAATCGATAGGGCGGCTGTCTACTACTCGTCATCGCAGCACCAACAACTGTCGGCAGCACCGACTCCCCAGACCTCCTCCTCGCATTGGTACATGGGTGATGGTGGTGGTGTTTCCGGGGTGCAGGCGCCGTCCTCCCAGCCACCCGCTTCCACATCCAGCTACCCACCGCAGTTCGACAACTCGGCTGTAGTTGCTGCCGTCGCCGCCGCCGGCTACCATCTTCCCGCCTTCCCAAAACTGTCTTGATCTCTGTACAGCTCCTCCTCCTTCTCTTCCGTCGCCTCCTGCTGATCTCGCCTCTGTATAGACCCCCGTATTTCACCTCATTTTTAACCACTCCCTTGGCTCTCTCTCCGATCATGTGATATATACATACGCGTACAATAGCAACACGTGTTTTGTTCTCACACCTTTTGCGCGCCCATACACACACACACTGTCTTTTTAACTCAATTTAAGACTCGAAAAAAAGAACTAGCGATTTTACTGCCCAAACTACCCCTACTTCTATTGCATAAGAAAATTACGTTGATGATACAACAACAATTGCAAATTTTATGCAAGGCTGTGAATGCCCAGCCTGTGTATAGTCCAAATCCCTTCCTTCCTGTTGTCCTTTCATTTTGTACTCACCCCCTCGGCCTGAATCGTATGGGTTCTGGATATTTTTGTCAAGTTCACTTACCTCCTTCCCCCGTCCCGTCCCTCCCCGCCCCCTCCGCCCAAACCTTTACATATTACGAGGCTCTTACAAGTGAGTACACACAGCTCTCAACTGTGTCGGGTTTTGCTCTTATCAAGAAGTAAAAATCTTTTACTACCACGCCTCTGCCTTCTGTCTCGCTGTGTCCCTTGTTAAGCGTTGTCTCCAGTGTTGGCTCTTCCCCAATTGGCAGTCGACGGTGGGCTATATTGCGACAACTAGGTTTATAGTAACGTTGTAGCAGCAGCAGTGTTTAACTCAATTGCCGCAAGGTACGAAAAAGCGGTGGTTAATGGCATTCTCCTACGCCTGGGGCAAGAATGTAATGGTTAGGCTAGGTTATGGGAGTGTGGAAGACCGCCTGCAGTGCCGGGGGTGGGGTTTTTGACTTGGATTCCTCGAGCGTTGCCTTGTGCGCTGAACTGAAATTACAAAAAACGGTGACTAATGTAAATCACAGACGTCAAACATGACTAGTTGGTCGCGCTTCAATTGGCATTACGACAAGGGCGTTCAATTCGCGATTGGTCGTCAAATGGCTAAGAGTTTAAAGGCCGTTCTGAATAACTGCGAATGAGGTCACGTGCATTGGCCTCAACACTAGCCATGCACAAAAGGTCAGAGAATGTGACCAACCCGGCGCCGGTTTATAGGGTGTTCCGTGCTTGCCTAAAAACGGCCGTTGCTGTCAGACCTAGCTGTACATTATTCTTTAAGTCGCAGCCCGTGTTTAATTGGTGTGATCAAATGTGGTAAAAGCAAACAGTAGCCGCGGAGGATTGTAGAGGAGAGCCGACAACCAAACGATCAGGCAAAACAGCTACACCGGGTGTTTGGCAGAACGTGAGGAGGGAGGTGACCGTAGGGGGGATTAGGGTTGATCCGCATGCCCTTAGGTGCTGGATGGGGGTCGGAGACGGGAGGACAAAGAACAGGCCACGGTGGTGTGCGATGACCTAATGGGTAGAGCGTTGAAACATTCGTTGTTGTGGCTGTAGTACACGGTTTCAATAACTCAGTTATGGGTATAATTGGGGTAGTAGGTTGCGATATATTGTCGTGTTATTCCCGCAACTCTTGTTTTACTGCACTGACTTACGTTAGAATACTGTTCACTTCGCTCTTCAGCAGTCGATATGTGTTCTCTACCTTCCGGATCTTCTTCGTTGTTCTAAGAGCGGAAATAAGGATGAATACGTACTCTGCCCGTCCTCTCGGCTAATTCGCCAACAGGAGGTTATCTTATACTGATTGAATTAGTAAATATACGCCTGTTAGAAGTTGAACAACGCGTAGAACTCGAAATGTTGCAGCAGGAAAGATTTTGACGGGCTTCCAACTATAGCTGTGGACCGCTACAAAAAGCCAATGAAATCTCAGACTTGGTCAAGTTAAGCCAACAGATGCAAGCCTGTTAAGCGATCCGAACCCAGGTAAACTTTTCTTCCGAACTGAATTCTTCCAAAAGTCGCGTGGCGTTCGTGAAGAGATTTCCGATTCCACTGCAGCTCAAATGGACCAAGATAGCTAGCAGAATACAACCTCTACAAGTGTGCGAGGGCCAGGCTCTAAGGAATGAAGACAGAGAATAAACAAGAGAGATCGTCGTTCATTTGGTGTGTACCAACCTACGATTTCAAGCACTGGACGACATCAGTTTACCTGGGCTTCTAAATTGTGGACAAAAGGTGAAATATCATAAAAAAATTAGTTCTTCACATTTAAGTAGCTAAAGATCTACCATCATTCAGTCAGTAATGTGTCGTTGTGTTTAAAGCAGCCAAAACGCGAGGGGCGGCATTTTAATTAATGTGTTGTAATGCACCCAGCGAGCGGGGACCTAAATAGGTAGATGACTGTTAGCCCGTCCCTCTTAGGTAGCCACAAAATCATGGTTAGCTACCAGGCCCACGATAGAAGGATAACTGGAAGAACCGGATGTATTCCATACTACCGTGTGGGGGGTCGGCGTTGCCCTCAGATTCACGGGCGTGCCTTGAGGAAGGCGAGAGTGCAGGAGGAAAGAGGGGGGCAAAGAATAGGCCTAACCGGCGTGCGTGATTCAAATGGCGCGCGTTTCAACACAGATGAATTCATTTTAGAGCGATAAAACAAATATTTTGCTTGAAAATATCCGAAAACGTAATTACACGGTTATGCACATTTTGGCATTAAAGGAGCTAGATGGTTTAAATAGCCACAAAATAAGATGGGTGAGCGCGCATTAGGTTGCTCAACGTCACTGCTCTGTTCTCACGAGGCTATTGATTTATCATGTCCCCTAAGCATTGGGTTGCCTCGTAAAAATGCTTCCACACATGATCGCAATTTCGAAAATTAGTTACTCTAGTTGAGCAGTCCAAATCTCATAGGGATCGTAAGCGCCCATTGAATTTTCGTAAACATTGTTCAACTGCAAGCCAGCAACATGAAAATTCTGAAATCTAGTCACCAACCACTGACTTCAGAATGTTTGAGTGCCTTTGTAGCTTCAGTCATAAAAACTATTAAAAGGTTCTACGATTGAATCTAAGTACGATTTGTACTTAAACTCTCTATGTTCATATAAATTGACTTTTCCCTGCACTCATTTTGCTTTTTGGTTTGAGACATCTTATTCAAAATATTCGCAAAAGATGATCTTGATCACATAAATATTATCAAAGGAGACTTGCTCTTGCTGAGTATTGACGTTATCAATGCGAGGAAACATTTGTTACAATGAAGATGTGTGACAGACTAAGCTCATGAAAAGTGATCATGTAGATCGCTGACAATGAATGTCAGTAGTTTTATCAAAAGCATTGACATACATGAAGCAGATCCATGAAATATTTCTTCGAGTGGATGGGTGGCTAATTGAAAAATAATTATTTATTGTCAAACGGAAGAGAGAGGAGTCTGATTAATTTTCTCCCATTTGTTTCTGTTAGATGTCTTATAAATAGTTTTTTCTCATTTGGCAATACCTATTATCCAACAAAAATGGCTCTTTTACCTCAATGAATGCATGGGATCCTAACCAAACACAGATACTGAGCAATTGACCACGATGGCCACTTTTTCACATTTTCTTAATCATCAGATTGTTCACGAAATTTTATACCGGAAGCCTGTTGACCATGCCATAGCCACCGTGTCTTTTTCTACTACTCACCCTAAAAGGCAGCTAAATGTATCAAGAAATTTTCGATGATGAATGTTTGCTCTTAGGTTAACGCTGTGACAGCCAATCTCCAAGGAAAAGTGCACACACACATTTAAGGAAGAATTGTAGTTAATTGCCAAGTATCTCAATTATTATTGGGTGGCATTACAAAATATTCAGAAGGGAATGGGTTTGATTTCATGCTTTCAGCAACTACTCCCGTTTGCATCCATAAACCAAATAAATATACATCTATTCTACTGTCATTCCAATTAATCACTCATATACTGGTGTCAAATAGTGCAATCATACAAGAATAGTAAATTAGTCAGTCATCAGGGATATTCATCTGCTCTCTAGAAACACTAATTTATCATAGTTACGTGTAGCAAGCGTCAATTTGAAGTCTCGACATTTTGTTCTACTCTGAAATCGACCCAATAGTCGCTTTGACAAAAAAAAGATGTAGTAATAGCAAATTCAAAATGTTTGGCTCATTTCTTTAAAGTTTCATGGCCGATTTACGTGTTGCTAGGCAGCAAATCCTATTGATAAGAAAAGGAATAAAAATATTGTGCAGATGTATTTTTGCAAATCAGGGTTACCACATTTTATATGTTCTGAAAACCACTCCGTAAAATGATCCTCTCAGTTCCTACAAATTTTCATTGCCTAAATTTTCTCGTCAGCATCTGCAGTCACCTAAATACCTTTAGATTAAGAAATGAGATAGCAATTTACAGTTTTGATATTTGACTATGGCCAAAATTTATCTTATTTCAGTTACAAGCGCTTGTAACAAGGTTAAATTTTAGGGTTTAGAGTCATAAATTAGCACCAGATAAAAACACGTCACGTAGATTTTCTTAAGTATAAACATGAAATTTATGAATTATTATATTTATCGGAATTAGCATTGGGACTGCTGTAGCCGACTCTACAACCAATTGCCGATTGTCCACCAACACGTGCTATTTTTGGTTGGGGGCCTCCTTGAGAAAATGAGCGTGTCGGGGGAAACATTTGCCTCATGGGCAACGCATGTTACTAGATGCTCAAACCCAACATTTAACCGCGTTTTAAATCGTCTTTGGTCAAATCCACAACTTCAGAAGAATGTCTTAGCTGTTCTTACAGGGGTTACGAAACTCATTCAGTCGCGTGGTGGAACTGAATCTGCGGCAGAGTATTACGCTGCATTGGTATTACCCTGAAATAACATGCTCAATGCATTTTAGTTAAGCTTACTTAATACCAATTCGTCTACTAAAGCTGCAGAAGCATATCTTTTGCGCCTTGTGGTGTCTAAAGCGTATGTGGATTTTCTAACCGATATCTTTCCAGTGTACCTGTTTCGCTCTTGAGGAAAACATGCAGCGAAGCCTCTAAAACAATAACAAATGTCTTGTCTGCTGCACTGCAGGAAGAACCATTGGATGTGTCGATGTGCAAATCAGTAGGTATTATCCTGTATTTAGCCCATGATCGCTTAGCTCCTCGTTGCCCTTGGCCGTGTTTTGGTCGCACAGCCTTCAGAAGATTGGGCATCGGAATCTGTTCGACATAATTTTAGAATTCTTCTTCAATTTACGGATAATGAAAATGCGACTTTACGCAAAGCTGCTCACCGGATTATATCTGAACTTCTGGCGTCCACCTTAAGTCGAGAAGATGGTTTTCATCCTGTGTGCCGCCAAACAATGAATTACACTTGCAGGCTTATTCAACAGGAGACCTCGTAAGTTTTTTTAATGAAAATTACTTGAAATTGTCGGTGCTATTGTCTAAACGTTACGGTGCCAGCTATTTCATTCATCTTGTTTTTATCAAATTCTCAATTCTAGGCATCTCTCTGGCCTTATCCGTATAACAGATGGTGCCTGTAGCCGTTTGCTGCATAGCTTAAATCTTATGAAATCTATTCTATGGCTGGTTCCCGAAAAAGACGTCAAGGCTGGCTGTGAGTGCACTTTGGAGCTGACCGCCTTTAACAACTCACTGGTATGTGTGTGAACGCTTCCAGTTTGGTTCATGTAAACTTTACGATCACATTAATGCTTTTGCGTCTATTTTAAGGTTGTCAAGTCTTCTTTCGATTGCCTGCGGACGTTGTTTCAAGCAAGGGTAAAAGACTCGTCTCTTCCTTTGGATACAGCGGGAAAACTAATGACTGCCTTGCTTACTTGCAGACCACGTGACTCAACTTCTGTTGATAGCGAAGCTCTCCAAAAAGATTCTGAAACCGTGATCGCGTGGTTGGAGTGTTTGTCTGCTGGTGTTGGCTACTTAACAACTCTGGCAGTCGAAAATCGTGACAATACGTCAACTCTCTCAGCCTCCCACGTTGCGGTGGAACACTTGGATCACCTTATTCGCACCGCACTCAACATTGTAGTTACCAGTCCTCTACCCAGTTTGCGTGATTCTGTCAAGCGACTTCTAGTCAACATCACGCAGAACTACTTGGTAGGGTTTTTGAAAGTAGTGCTTATTGCCGAGTCCTTGGACACTTTGTCTCTTGACAATTACTTCTTAGAATGAACAATTACAGTCGTGCGACCTGCTCACCCAACGACCTCGACTTCTATCAGAGCTCTGCACCTCTCTGCAAAACGCCCTTAGTCTAGCCCGGCGTGAGACGTGGCCCAATCTACTGTACATCGCTTCGCATCTCATTTACGTCTGGGCGATGGCCACAGTTGTGGGGAACAGCGTTGATTATAGCTTGCCCGATGAGGTGACCGGTCTGCTTAACCGTGTGGCAAGCCTCCGTGACGCCTCCACGGATAGCATCGAGGGTCTGGTTGACACCGGTGGTGTTGATGAGACAGCACTTGTCGGCGAGTTAGATCGATTCATCCTCACTTCAATGGAATCCTGGGGCATTGAGCCGGTCCTTCGTGATGCCTTGTCTCTGGAACCCCTCGTGGCTGAATTGGAGTCGGGCAGCGTTGAGCTGCGTCGGTCTTGGATCCTGCCCCTCATCGCGCGTGTCCACCCGGCTCGCTCCTGCAGCTTGGCATTCTTCCACGCATCCGTCCTGCCACTCGCTGACCGCGCCGTCACGGTCGCCAAAGCCGCGGCCAACCAGACGTTCAAACGGCAAATTGGCGGCGGCGGCGGCCGTTTTGTCCCTCTCTCGGCCATCTTGAATGCGGCAGTGCAGATGGCGCGTCAGCTCTGGTTCACGCTGACCGCTTTCACGCGACGTCCGCCCACTCGCTGGGCCGATCTCATGGACTCGGGGCTCGGTGGACGACTCGTTGCTGGCCTCCTCACCGCCAAGGCCGTTCGACCCGTCATACTCTCTGCCCTCCGACGCCTTATCGCCTTTGCCGACAGTGAAGGTTCGGTGGATTTTGTAGCCAATCGGGCACTCGATTTTATTTTATATGCACTCCGTATGTTGATGCGTTTCAGGCACGATAGTTTGGCAAGCCCAAGTAGTATAATTGAATTAGTCATCAGCCATACCAGATCGTTTGGCCCTCACACCGGTCTAGGGCTTCACTTTTGCGGTGGTCGTAGTGTTTGACATGGACTCTGGTTTATTGAACCCTGTAGAATCCGTTGCCGTGATGAGATCTGGGGCAAAGCAAATGGTCCCGCGGATTCTCTCAATGTTTGAGGAACAAGATTCGACCAATGATCAGCAGCTCAAGCAGCAACTGCACACGACCTTAGCCGTATTCTTACCACTCCTCACTCCTAAGGTATGTGACGATTTTACAACAATTTAAACACTTTTTTTTCACGAATAACTGTTTCGGACATCTATTGGTTGTTTCCATAGTGACATGCAGATGCCGTAGGTAGTTGTCGAGGTGATTCGGTTGCTTACATTTTTTGGACATTAGAAGCCTACTACTTAACAGGTAGTTAGATAGTTATTATGTAATTCGACCAAACAGGTAAAGTCGTAAAACGTTCGTCCCGTTCGTGTAACGTGGTTAATTGTTAAACAACGAGTGCGTCTGCGTTTTACACGTAAAAAAGGAAATTAATTAACTTCTGTTAGGTGTAGTCCTGATTCGAACCCGTTCAATGAGGCTTCGCTTCGTCTTCAAGGAGGTATAAACGCGGGTCATAAAAGCAATCGACACGTTGATTAATTGCCTCTCTTTAGGTACTTGACGTGTTCCAGTATCAAAGTAAAAGCGTACCCCACTAGTTACCCTTGATGACTAATAAAGCTTGGTGATTGCTGTATTTGAAAGCAAAACGAGTGGAAATGCGTGCAGCTGAAGGAACCACAGTCCCCACCGCTAATGCTCGATTCTTGTTCTTGCGTTTCATCGGCGTTTTTGTCACAGACTCCACCGTCACCGCTGGAACAGCGAAACCGCACATTGGTTAACAAGGTGCAGAGTTGAAGGGTTGTAGAATGTTTAAGTACCGCCCACTTTCTTGTAGATGCTCTCCGTGCCCTCTGAAATGGCCTATAAGAAACTCGTCGCTACGAAAAAGTGAGTTTTGTTCGGGCGGCCTTGTTTCTCGCTTGCACCACACCTCTTCCAACCACGCTTCCGTGTTCTTGCAGGCCAATTTACATGGAGATCCTAGCCGTCATCGTGCCAAACCTCTCGAGTGACCAGATTCAAACCATTCTTCACCACCTAGAGGGCTACTTTGCAGTATGCTTTGTCTCTTTCCGTTGTATTTAACAAATCGCTTTACCATCTTAATATTAGGTGTATGACTTAATTTCAACGGTTTTTCTCTTCGAGCTAAAAATTGCATCTAAAATAGGGATATGTGCGTGGTTTTCTGAGGTTTTACAACACCAGGACGACAAGTCTGCGTGAGTTACATAGCTTTTCAGAATGGCAGAATTTACGACGATAGCAATTGACAGACAGGAGATTCGGCGGCACTGCATTTTGCACGAATTCCAACAAATTCAACAAGGGAATCAATTTGTAGTGTTCTCGGTGCTGTCAACGTAGTGTCTTATGAAACGCGTTATTATTGCCACAAGGGTTTTCGAAGTGGTGATTCCCATCTTAGTGACTAGCCGCGAAAGTTTGAAGATGCGCATTTGCAAGTTCTGCTGAATGAAGACTCAAGACAGTTAGGAGTCATCCAAACAGTAATTTGCAAACGTTTTTCACACCAAATGGGAAAAGTTAAAAACGCTGCTTGTCCACTGGTAGCAAAAAGTACTTCATGTGGAGAGTTGGAACGGGTGATGAAAAATCGATGAAAATTAAGTCATATACTCAATAGAATTTACAAGAAGCACGTAGATAAAAGTTTTGATAAACAAGACGCATCGTTGGTTTCCTGCAGCCCGAGTATCGCGAATCGCGCGCTATAAAGAAATGCGCCTACCGCCTCCTGGAGGCAGTTCTCGCCTCCTCGAACCCACCCGCAAAGGACTTTGTCGCGTCCAACCTGACAAGCCTGACCGCCTTCATGCAGCGAGTCGCGCCACCGCTGCTCTACGTGGAGGAGGCCGAAGAACACGACCGTCTCTCGTCCACAATGGCCGCCCTCGCGCTCTCCAAGAAGGATCGCAAGACGCTGGTGGCCAGCACACCCTGGAAGGTGCGTCTTCGTATCCTCCGGATGCTCCTTCGTGCTCACGTCGAAAGGCAGGCCCAGGCTGAGGCGCCGAGCCACGACGTGGAGGACTTTATCAACACCTTCATGCCCGAGGTGAGTAAAACGCCTTCGTGATTGGACGTGGTTGTGCAAAGTGCCGGTGGCTCTTGACCTCTTTGCTCCGTTGAAGGTGCCTCCATGTCTCGGCAGTCTGAACAGCGTGGTTCGTGTCGTGGCGGAGAAGTTGCTGGTGGACATGGTTCTGTCCAGCGCTGGGAGTCTCCCGCAGGAGCACGAAGGTCTTGGGGTCCGTCTACCGCGACCGCCTTCCTCCGAAGCTCCACACGACGATGACAAGATGGAGGAGGAGGAAGAAGAAGATGATGATGAAGAAGACGAAGACGAAGAGGAGGAAGAAGAAAGCATTCGTGATGGCAGTGACTCGGAGCACTCGTACGCGCCCACGGAGATTGCTTCTGTCTGCACTGCGATCACGACAACCGGGATGAACCCTGTTGCTGCCGCAAAGGTTGGTTTTGCTTGTTTATTTTCTGCGGAAGAGTCCGTTCCGTCTGCGATGATTTTGGGGTTTGCGTGAGGAATCCCTAGTGTTGTCAATTGTTAACCGCTGTCCCTAGGCTGCCAAATAGAAGCTTCGGTTTGTATGTGCTCTGATAGCAGTGGCTAGAAAAAGCACGACTCCTCACTAAGCTTCGTTGTGGAGGCTTGCAGAAGTAGGCACTGTCATAATCGCCTGTGCTACAACAAACTGATTTTGCTTTCCGTTGAATTAGTCGTTTTTTTCCGGCTCTTGAAACAAGTTTTGCTACTGGAGCGGCCCTTTTCAACATCGAAGAGAGGTGCATTCTACGAGTTCAAAGATCCGCTCAAAGGTATTTTTCACTGATTTAGACTTGTGCGGGTCTGCGGGGCATCCTCTCGCGTCTCTGGCCGTTGATAATGGAAGCGACGCCGGAGAGCGTGAAATCATCCACGACGTCGCAGCTGCTGCGCCTGGAGGTGACCGCGAAGGCGGTGTGTCGGCTCCTTTCCAACCTCCATCTGCGTCGCTCCCTCATGACCGACCTCCAGGCAACGGAGGAGGGACAGGACACGTCGGCTGCCGCTCTGGTTCTCTCCAACGCCAACCTGGCCTCGCACAGCCTCGTCCAACTGCCCTCCAAGCAGCTTGCCAGCCTCGGTCTTCAGATATCTCGGCTTCTGATCGCCTTTGTGGGACACTCTGTCTACGTGTCGGACATTGTGAGTGGACTTGCTTCCGTCGTCGATGCACTCAACACTGCCTTGCTTTGTGTGCTTTACTCAAACCTTTCACCTTGCAGGTTATGAGCATTCACAAGGTCCACGCCGCGCACAAACGCTCTCTGCGATTTTTAATCAAAGCGATAGTGGGGAAGTTACTGAAAAAGGTTAGGTAAGTTGGCGTCTTGTTTCATTGTAAACGCCGGCTACAGTTGTCTCAGACGCGGCTGTTCAGCAAAAATAGCACCACTGAAGCCGGATTAGGAGCACTTTAGTTTAATTTTCTGGAACTCGTGAGCTCTGCCAATAGTACTCGCAGGTGACTTGCGGTTTCGGTCGGAAAATCGATAATGTGAGACTGTAGCCGTCAACTGGACAACTTACAAATCCGCAAAGAAAAGGGTTTATATTTTTTGGCTGGTTCATGCAAGCCAGCATCCTTTATTTTTGACCAGGCAAGCCGATTGCTAGATTTCGAAAAAAAACTTCAGATTCAACTGTCAACAGTAAACTGAAATTGGTTTCTTGTTAGGAACCTTCCTTTGTCACTTCATACTGGTGAATAATTGTTGGCACGCAGAGTATCCACGCGGGTCCGTTTAGCTGATTTCTTGGGCCTCTTATAGCGTGCAGGCGTTGCAGTCGTTGATGAACGCCGAGTACCACAAGATGATCCGAAACAGCGCCAAGATCCAACTTCGGCGAGATCGCAAGCGCAAGTCCGAGGGCAAAAAGGGCGCTGCCAACCGACTGCCAGGGGATGACGATGATGATGACGACGTCGACGACGATGGAGTTTCCAACGTTTCCGCGCATTCCCGTCGGGTACCCTCGGTCTCTGGCGCCTCCTTCAAGTCCTTCGGCAGTGCTCTCTCCCTCTCGAAGCGAATACACGTCCAGGGGTGAGTGGTTATTATTTGCCACGCAGTGTTCGTACATCGTTTTTTGTGTGTCCGAAAAATACGCTCGGATTAGACCAATACAATAGTGCCTTGCCCCAAGTTCCTAGTTTAAGGACAAGACCTCGCGCCGAGCGAGTTATTGCCGTCTCCGTCCAAAACACACCGGAATGCGCCCATTTTGTTTTGGACTTGGGCGACCTTGAGAGCAGCAAACAAGGCAAACAGGCCAATAGAATTAGTCACCTTGGCGAAAATTGCGTTCCGAGTGAATCAGTAACTGGGTGTTTTCAGTGGACCAGGTCACTCAACGAATTTCCACTCTCCTCTTCAGCTTCAACGAGATCTTGGCAGGTTCTAGTGATGAGGACGAGGCAAATGCTCCAGCGCAGGAGTCTTCAAAGACGGTGGCTACCAAAGCAGCCCCTGAGCCGCCGCGTCGTCGACCAGGTCTTGCCGCAGAACTGGAACGCGCCGCCTCGGTAGCTGGACTTAGTCGTCGATCAAGGCGTCTCTTTGGAAGCCGTAGTGGTGGCGGCGGCGACGGTGACGCAGTGGACAGCTCTAGCGACGATGACGATGCGGGTACGTGTGTGTGGTCCGATTCCTCGTGTTTTGTGCTTTCGTAGAAGCCTCATGCACATACAGGTCGTAATTTTTACATTTCAAGGTACTCTTGGCTCGATGCTTCGAGTGCTCCTCTTGTCAGCCCGTTTTATGCTTCATTGAGGCCTTTACGTCCGCAGAACACAAAATTCGTGGACACTGATTTCAGATAAATAGTATATCTAGGTTCTAGTTAATTTCTTGTTCTAGATTCAGGGACTTTAAAGGCAAATGGGATGTCTCAAGTGGTTGCGTATTTTGTGTGAGTGCGTCATTTTAGTCTCGTGGAGGCCAATTTTCGTGATTTTAATTGATTCCATGGCATCATGAATCCTCCGAATTGGGAATAACTGCACGCTGACTCTGGTATATTGGTGGTTAAGACAATTGCAATTGCAGTCGTTAGTGGCGTCAGAATCTTTTGGTCTTCATTGCTTTAAAAATCGATACCCAAATCCACACTATGTGCGCTTCCCTTGACCTCCGCTTCATCAGTCGTAGCAACCGATTATGGGACGCCTAGTTCAAGCAACAAGTTTTGTTGACACGACCCGAATCTCCACTTCTTTGCCCTCCACACAGCCACAACTCGGCGTGTCGGAGTCGCTGGCGAAGGCACCCAGGGCCACAAGCGTCGCCGGTCGTCGGCAGCGGGACTCGAACCGATGACTTACCTCGTGGAGGACGCCGAAGACGAGGTGCTCGACCTCGCGGACCCGGAGGCTCTGGCGCGCCACCTCACCGTCGCGCCGTCCGCGCAGCACGCGAGACGCGCGTTGGCAGCCCACCGCGGCGACGGCGGTGTCGCGACGACCAAGCGCAAACGGGCTCGGCTCACGTCGCTCGCCAGCGCCGCCGCCTTCCCAACCACCGCCGACGGCAAATTGATCATCAACGAGGATGGTGCCGGTAACCCCGAAAATGATGGTATGTTGTTGGTCGACTCTCTCTTCCGACATGCCAGTTCACTTGGTGCCCGTGGCTGGGGTTCCAGAAGTTAATGTCATTCATTCGTAGGTCACAATCCGGTCTAGCGGATTCGATAAGTCTAAAACGATTCGGTTGTCACTGCAGAAGTAGCGACAGTGTTCAGGCCACCCCATCAGTAATGCATGTAACTCGTGTCTCCCTACAGCTTGGCTATTGGATGACGATGCTGGATCCAGCGGCCACTTGCCCGCCCACCTTTCGCAATTGGCCGAGACCAAGGTCCCCAGCAAACGGGCCAATCAAATCCGACACTCCGGTTCAGTGTACAGGTCGGCACGCGCTCGCGGGGACATGAAGAAGCCCGGACTGCCGGATCCCTTCGCCTACATGCCTCTCGGCGCTGGAGTGCCCGCCAAGAGCAGGAAGGGCAAAGGCGCAGTGGCCGAGCGAAGAGCCCTTCTGCGCAGCCTCGGTGCTGGCAAACAGAAACGCAAGAAGCTGCCAAGGACGTCGTCTGTGGGGAAGAGTGTGGGCAAGAGGCAACGGCATCGGATGAAGAAGTAGTGTTTCTTCTTCCTCCTCCACCTCCTCCTCCTTTGTACCTGTTTCCCCTCGATTGATTACTTTATGAATTTTGGAGAACGCCGATATGAATTGAATCGATGTCTTTAATTTTTTGTTCAATGGGGGTGGGGTGTTACTATTGTGGGCTCCGGCATGCGATCTTGAACCACGTCGGGGCCACGGAATTAACCCTGGCCTGATTACGCTTCCCTGATACCCGTGATGAAGAAAAAGACCGGAGAGGACGTGGACACAACCGTTTACTTCAGATCTCAATCGCGTTGGTGTCGTGTGTGGGGCTTGCGCGTGTGCATGTAAACCTCAGATGCGTGAGCCATAGATGCGCTAACATCGAGACCTAGGCATGGGGATAATCCAAGGTAAATAACCGTGTAAATGAGGGTAGAGTTGAGGATCCTCACGACTGGCGACATGCTGCGGAAAGGGGGACCCTGTGTCGTAGGATGGAGCGACCGGATTAAGGAGCGTGAGTGAACACGAGTCACAACATTACCTTTAACCAATCACAGGCCCGTCGAATTTTGATTGGTCAATGTCTTGAGAAGGTCAAGTATGCTCAAAGCCTACCTTTCATTGGGTGTGTAACCTTATGTAGTGAATCGTGTTGATTCACGTCCAATAACCCTGTCCTCGCAGCTTTCAGCGCACCTCCCCCCTTGTCACGTGAGACCGCTGGTTCATCACCCCGCTGAATGTACCATCACCACCAT